CTTTCTGTGAAAAATTCTTTCCTAATGTTCAGTCTAAACCTACCCTGTTGCAGCTTGAAGCCATTCCCTCTCGTTCTGTTATTAATTACCTGTGAGAAGAGACCAGCACCAACCTCTCTACAGTGTCCTTTCAAGTAGTTGTAGAGAGTGATAAGGTCTCCCCTCAGCCTCCTCTTCCTCAAACTAAACAGTCCCAGCTCCTTCAACCGCTCCTCATATGATCTGTTTTCCAGGTCCTTCACCAGCTTCATTGTCCTCCTCTGCACTCGCTCCAGCAAGAAGTAGTTAATCACCTCAAGGTTCTTTCATATGTCAGAGTATGTAGGTCTACAAAGATGATGAGGGGATTGGAGCATCTCCCTTACGAGGAAAGGCTGAGGGACTTGGGTCTTTATAGTCTGGAGAAGAGAAGGCTGAGGGGGGATGTGATCAATGCTTATAAATACTTAAAGGACGGGTGTCAAGAGGATGGGGGCAGTCTTTTTTCAGTGATGTCCAGGGACAGGACAAGAGGAAATGGGCACAAACTTGAATGTAAGAAGTTCCACCTAAACATGAGGAGGAACTTCTTTACTTTGAGGGTGGCAGAGCCCTGGAAGAGGCTGCCCAGGGAGGTGGTGGAGTCTCCTTCTCTGGAGACTTTCAAAGCCCGCCTGGACACGTTCCTGTGCAACCTGCTCTGGGTGGACCTGCTTTGGCAGGGGGTTGGACTAGATGATGTCCAGTGGTCCCTTCCAACCCCATGTGATTCTGTGATTCTGTAGTCCTATACTAATTAGGACAGAGCTATGGCTACTTCAAAGAACATCCATATCTTCCTCAAGAAGCTGGCAAACTTACCGTAAACTTTTACTGTCCTGAGAAAACTCAATACCTTAAAAGGACAATGTGAGGAAGGGTGCCCCTACCCAAACGACCCCCAAGAAGCTCATGCCTGCGCAGAAGTGTTTTGCAAATGCTGCAAAATTTAATGCACATGTGCAAAAGGACCATTCAGAGATCCTAATGAAAATATAAGCCTAGGTGTATAAATAATGTGTGAATGTCCCCAGGAAGATGTGCTAGATCTGTGGATTTCCACCTAGCACCCAACATCGAATAAAGCAGTGTCTCCTCTCTAAACTGCTTCTGGTTTCAAGAACTTTTGTTCCAGCCTCAGAGCCTCCTCTTTTCCCCTCTGAATTATCAGAGACATTGCCAAGAGTCTTTACCACTCCCCACTTTGACTGATCTTTCTAATTAGGAGTGCTGAACAAATGGATCTGAGAAGCAGCCCGGCAGCAGCAAGCAGCCTCGGTTGACTGGGCGCTCGGCATGGGAAAAGCTCCGCTCTCCCAGGGACAACGTGGAAGATACAACCAGTGACTCAGCACTAGCTCAGTAACTGCTCTCCAGGGAATCCCAGACAACCCCTCCAAGCATTCCTGCCTGTTTCTGCACATGGAGGGATCAGACAGCATAATATACCCCTTGAAACAATTCCCTACCTCTGATAAATTTACATGTCGCATCAACTAATGTCAAGCTTTGACTTGTGCTCCACATCTATAGACACATCCAGGGTGAAGCAAATACCAAAAATGTGGGGGGTTTGTGTAACAACTGTGCTCTGCACCGCACAGACATGGCATTTCATCAAGCACAGGGTAATAGCTTGATTCCCTGAGGGACTCACTTTTGGAATATAGAACATCTCCTTTCATAAATAGGCAAGGTCACTGTGTGGCACACATTCCTTAACGCACACGTTCATTTTGGAGTTGATGCTGAGATAATTGAGTATCTCTTCATTATACGCTTCATATTAATGCAATAACGCATCCTCATGTAAAACTAATTTTACAATATCTGAGGAAAACCAGCATTATATTACATTTCAGTGCCATGTGTTCAGCTACTCCAGAATACAGCGGAAAAATTGTGATTTATGCCCAAATTATTTTTTATATTTTACTATGCATGTTGGATTCAGAATTTGAAAAATTCCAGATTAAGAAGCATTTTAAAAGCACAAACTAAGGCATTTTGCCCCTTCACACCTCATCACCCTTTCGTGACTTAGAATTGCTTTTTTTTTTTCTTCCCAGCATAGTTGCATGTTCACACTATGGACAAAACAGTTCACAAATGTGATACCTCAAAGTTTAAAAACCTGTAGATATAATGATAGAAGCACAACGATGTCACAGAGATATATATTTAAAAATGACAGGCAATTTCTTTCAAAACATTATTAAGGGCTACTAAAAATCAGGACTCCCCCAAAGGACTTTACATGAAGAACCTAAGCATCATGCAGTGCAACTAACTCCTGCCAATCTACTTCTCTGCTTTCATCTTATTTAACCCCAGATACTATTTTTATCTGTTTGTTTAGAATATTCAGAAGCTGGCAACCTGTTTTTCTCTATTCCTCTTGTTCCCGGGAAACTTCCCACATAGATTTGAAAAAGAGAAATTCCAGAGGAAAATACTGGGTAAAGACACAATGTAAAAGAAGAAATAGTTACTATCAAAGTGAATGTGTGGTCGGTCAGTAGAGAAGATTACATAGGGTGGAATATGAAAGTAGAAATAAAGTGTTTTCTCCTAAAACCAGACACAAATATTGTATTGCATTAAATCGAACAGTTTGTGGGGGAAAAGAATAATTATCCAGTAGAGATTAGAAATTATATATGTATACATGTAAGGAAGAAAAGGGATTTTATTCTGAATTTTCCTCTGCATACTCAAATATACGCATTCTTCTTCAGTGATTATGATCAGGAATGTCAAATGCAAATGCTGACTGAAGATTTGGAATAAGCTTTTGCTGCATTTTTTATTTGTTATATAGCTCAAGGGGTCCCGAAACTGGAGAATAGAAACCACAACTGGAAATTAAAGTGTAATCTCTAGATTGTGATCGACTAATTATGTGGCTTAAAGACATATGGCAAACTTAACTGGAAACAATCCACAAAAATACTAAGAACAATATTTCTTGCCCTCTTCATTTGCCATGAAATTAACAGTTACTGGAATTAACAGTTTCACTTCTAGAAAAAAACCAAATAGCTGTCAACATTTTCACATGGAAATAACCTTTGAAAAGCTGGGTTTCTTCCTTAGAGAAACATTTTTGTTTTATTTTTAAAAGATCAGCATCAAAAAGACACCTTCTTCCTTGAAATAGTTGTGAGTATACCCCTAGAGTTTTTTTCCCTTTCAGGGCTGCAGCAACCTAACTCAGAGACTTGCCTCCATCCTTCGTTCATTTGAAACACATTGAGGTGTGTTTCAAAGGTTCAAGGGGGAGGTTATCAAGTCCTGTTTGCTGTTGGCATGTCTAAAACTGCTGGCACACGCTACGGAAAAAAAGGGGACATCCAGTAGAGCTGCAACAACAAAACAGCTACTAGGGAACCTCACCTAGAACTAGCGACAACACTAGGCTGTGCTGGACAACCGAACAGGTAAGCCAGTAATATTCATACAGAAAATGCAAACAAAGCTTATAGAAGTCCTGAAAAAAATAGCTTGGTTTGTCATTTTCTTAGTGGGTAAAAAAAAAAAAAAAAATAAGCAAACTCATGTAAGCACACCACATTTGGGATTTTGTTGTCTGACGGTGAAAACCATTACCCACAGTCATCAGTGATGAAAGCTGTAGAAACAGCTAAAAAGTTTTCAGTGAAAGGAAAAGTAATGAAAAACCGTGCACTTGACAGACTTGCAAAAAGCAACAAATGTGATGGTTTCCTTCTAGCTCAGTTACAAATTTTCCTCAACAGGAAAATATCTGACCTTCAGCTGAAAACACAAAAAAATCAAACTCTGTTGTTGGATATACTTAAGATTTCTCTAGCTGGATGCCTCAAAACACCAGGAGGAAAAGTACATGCCTTCTTCCAAACCTGCTTATCTCTAAGTTATCTTTAACCTACTTTAACTCCAGTAGAAGGAGGAGGAGTACTTTTCCAGTAAAGTTTTGCTTAAAGTTTTAGACAAATGCTCTAAAGATAAGTTGACATTTCTCAGATTAATTCTACATAATTCCTCGCCTACTAGGGCCAGATCTGTCCCTTCCCCTCATTTCACATCAGCTATGTACAAATTCACACTAGCAGTAAGCATTAGCTTGAACTCTGGCACTTATCATAGCCAGAGGAGTCTGAGCAAGTTCATGAACTCGTCACTGGTCTAAGCTCTTGAGGACCTAGTCCACTCTAGATAACTGTTTCTCCTTATGAATCTTTACATTAAATGCAGCAAAGGGCTTTGGCATCCTTCTTGACACTAGAGATCTGTATTTCCTCACCAGGGCAGCAAGCTAAAAGCTCAACAGAAACAAGGCATGTGGATGAAAGTTATACAGGTCTGTTCATCAACTCCCAGGTCCTTTGTGTTCTGCTGAAAGCAACTTTGGAAAACACCCTTTTCAAATGCAACACTATTTTATCACTTCATAAGTAAGGTTAAGGTGGAGCTGACATCAGAAGATGGCAGATGCCTTACTATACTGCAGCAATGCACAGCCCACTATACATTGCCACTAGGCTTGGTCTTATGAAATTAATTCAATGCCCCCACAACAGCAAAGAATGATGGGATCACGTTCAGTTTTATGTTTGAAAGCTAATGTTTGAATATTAAGTTGTGAAAGTGGGGGAAGGAAAAGAGTTCATGAAAGCGAAATGATGCTCTTCTTGAAAAAAAGGAAATATGCTAGGGTAGCAGGCTTTTGAAAAAATCCATTCTCAACAAAGAGCAATGCAAAAAGAAGGAAAAATGATGACATCAGTACAGTGTAAAATGCTGCATCACCTAATAAAATCAGACAGATCCAGGTTCATTAATGTGCAATTTTTTTGGCTTGTTTTAGACACGACAAAAATATATGATTACTGCAGAAGAAGCTATTTTGTTCTTCATAAATTGAGTATACCAGAAGGTCTCTGCTCCACTCAGCTAAATGGATTTCAAATTAGACTCTAGAATAAAATGTAGAAACTTACCTTGCATTTCAACATGTTGGCTACTCTCTCTTGCATTGACTGTCCAGCCTTTGGCCTGACAAGTATATAAACTGCTTTCACTTCAGGGCTGGAGCGCAGAAGCTTTTCCACCAGTACTTTGCCCATGAAACCTGTAGCTCCTGTGATAAGTACGGTCTTTCCATTGTAATAAGCTGAGACCGAAGACATGGTGCTGTCTTGTTCTGTCCTTCCTTTAACTTTCTGCAGGAGGTACCTGAGAAGATGCAGAATAAAGCTTTAAGGACTTCTGATTCAAGACATAAATCAATTATTTGGGAGCTACAGTCTGAGATAACCTTTCCTAGTCAGCTATGGTTCAGTCAATGGCAATTTTAAAGATGATTTTTTTAATAAAGCCGTTACTATGAAAATAAACAACAAAATTTAAAAAGATTAATCTGAGAAGCTTAAAGAATTAAGCTGAACCCAGCAATCACAGTTTAGTCAATAGATTGTGCTGTCCAAGACTCCTAGCAATAGATGCTCACTGCAGCGTTGAATAGCGTTTCTCATACACAGTGAAGTTGCAGCCCTGAAGACACGCAGTTATCACTCCTCACAATCACTTCAGGTACAAATGCTGTGGTTACCACTTCAATTACACTGTGCCGAGCAGTTCTGTTTCTTGTCAACCACTACTTCGCAATGTGCTCAGCCTTTTCCTATTGTCTTGGCTTGGAACCAATCAAGAAAGCTCTTCATCATGGAAGATACCAGAAGATGCTCACCTGTGTAGGCCAAGACCCATTGGGTGTTAAGGCCAAAATGCATCCCATTTAACTCTAAGGAGCATAGATGTCACATGTTTTCTCTGGAGAATTCAGGTTGTTTGAACTGCCTTTTGGACATCCATTGACTATTTTAAGGGGGATGACAAGCCTAGGCTCCCACATGAAGTGTCCCAGTTAAGTATTTTAATTAGATACAATGGTTTCAGGCCTATATGACCCCAGCCATCCCGATTCAAACTCTAAGTTGATTAAATGGCAAACAAGGCTGGACTGAATCGTCCTCAAATAGCTCTTCTCTCTAGTAGACTAGCTGGAGCAAAACACTTCCTCCTAGCTTTGAAGTGCTGCAGAACACAGCCTGCACAAACCACTTCCACTGCAAGTGAAAGACTCATGAAAAATATAAATAAGTGTTTTGAAAATGTCTACTAAATTTGAAACAAAAAGAAACAATAGAGTGACAACAATCAAGTACTCAAGAACCCAGAGAATGATCTTCAGGTACCCCAGAAAAATTCCTCTTTCTCCTGCAGAAGCTTCAGAGTCTCTTGGCCATTTCAAGTTTCTCAACATGACATGAGTCAACTGCACATTAACAGGATACAAATATAACAAACCAAAAATGTAGCATTTGCTGCATTTTTGCAGTCTGTGAAGATTCCCTGTTCTCACTAAGCCTTTTGCATTTCTGAAACCTAATAAACCATTCAGGGACAGTGAAGTAGCCTAACAGAGCAAAAACTGCAAGCCTTCATACAGAAACTTCTAAGGAGACCTTGACTTTGACCAACATAACGTAAGAACAGCAAAGAGTTTAAAATACTGTAAGAACCCTGGCTACATGAGATGGTAGGTTAAATTCCCTTCACTGGATGGGCCGTGAGAGAAATACAGCTTGTCCTAGAGCTTGCATTCCTCAGGATGGAGTGAGGTATCTTAACCCAGAAAATCAACCACCAGCTCTGTGAATCAAGAGAGACACCACAGGCCAACCCTTACAAGGTCTATATCATTCATTCAGGAATGTTCTTAGCTGGACTGAGATCCCCAAGGCATTACCACCAGTGAAAAGCAATCCACAAGACACTCAAGACTAACAAAATATTGTTTTTCTCTCCCAGTGCTGCCTGGGACTGCAGGACATAGAATCAAACAAATGAAAATCCCCAAATTTCTTGATCGGTAATGAATCATCAGGTGTGCCATCCAATTTAGAAAGTAGGTCAATCAGAGTAACTTCTGAAGGACACTATTTTACAAATTAATAGCTGTGGGTATTCTGGCTCAGTGAATTTGAGTATTAGCCTACTTTCAGATATAACCTAGATCACAATTTAAATGAATCTAACAGGCTTATCTAGGCCTATTAAAAACCTGTTCTTATCAAAGAGCTGGCCACTTGGGAAGCTAAACCAACAGGTTAAACTATTAGATAATTAACTTATTTATAATAAAATGTCACATCTCATTCAGGTTTGGAAAAACTGCGTGATATTGGAAGATAGGAAGCTGTAGAATCTGGAAGTGGGGGAAAGAGTGTATGCATCCAAAAGCAGATAGTAGTTTAACCAGATGAAGATGGAGGTGACAAAAAAATTAAGAAATGTGGTACAACATATGCCCTGCAAAGCAGAAAAATTAAAGAGAGAAGTCCTTAGTCATTAGAGGCCATACGAATTCTACTTAATATAAGGAAACAAAAAGATGAAATATAAGACCACTCCCAGTCCCTGGATACTGGCTTTGAACTCAGAAGACTGTATCTGCCTAACCTCACCTGATACTCTGATAGAAAAATGGTACATTTGCAAAGTACTTTGTACCACAGACTTGGAGATTACCACAGCATTTAACAGGAATTACTTTCCTTCCCGCACTTCAGTAACACAGAACATTTCCAACTTGCACCACTAAACATTAGCGCTTCGCATTATAGTCACAGACTACTGCAAAAACAACTTAAGATTTCCGAATGTGGACATCAATTTATTATGTTGTTTTATTTGGATTCCCTGTTTGAGTTATCCCAATGGGGTTTCATTTGTTTTGGCCAGATGTTCAATGCCTACTGAAATAGTAAAAAATCACAGTATTTTAGTGTCCCTAAAATTAGCCCCGCAGACACATTTCCTTAGGTATTTCTGGCAAGGACTACACACAAATATAACTAACAGGTTTTCCCCCTATAGTCTGAGACAATTTTAACCATTTGTCACTGAAATGTCCAGAAAACAATCTCCCAAACCATTCTGGTATGACGACAATGGAAGCACCAAACACAGCCACAGAAAAACTAAACTTCTAAGGCAATCTCCTGTTCCTCTTGATGTTGGCATAACTCTATAGGGTTAAAAGAAAAGCTAAGAAAGCCCACATCCTTTCTATTTTCTGTAATAAACAGTCCAAGTCAGGCAGCATGGAGTTTGCAGGGCCAGTTTCAGAGTTGGATCTGGTTGCTCAGGGCCTCGCCCACAATAAAAAGCAATGAGAAATGAAATGGATTTTGCTCATTACAGCATCAGATTTGTGTCTCCTTGAAGTACTTTTTTTCCCCTTTCCTAAGTTAGCTTTAGAAGAAAACACAATAATCTTGCACCCATCTGATGCCATGCTAATTACCAGCAAAGAAAATCTGTTTATTTCCTTACTGTGCATAAATTCATCTTTTGATGATACAAAAGCTATAATTCTGCAATCAGCTATGTTCAGAGAGATCCCCAAGTCTCCATTGTCCAAGCAAATTTAAAGGGGCTTTTACTAGGTTCCAAGTTCAAAAGCAGATTCTAGTTTATATTCAGGATGAAGCTATTTTCCTTTCAACTCAGTTGGGGAATATTGACTTTTTTTTTTCTTTTTTTTTTTCAGAACCATCATTGGGTTGTATATTTTTAAGAGTGTGATTTTATAACAAAATTTATTCTTCTCTGTTTTAATTGATTTTGCTTGACCTTTCTAAAGAACGTACTGAAGAAGTTATGGAGATTTTTAGGAACAAGAGGATTTCTAAGGTCAACAGGTGTAATTAATGCCTGCTGACCTGACCCTTTGGGATGTCTACTTCAAAATACAAAGAACAAACAAAATACAAAGAATACATGTTCCTTTTTGACTTTTTACACTCGGTCAAATGAAGAAAAAATGGTTTCCTGCAGAAGTTTATACTTGCTTTTCATTTTAAGGAATAAACAGTCAATGCTGGGCATTAACTATTTCCTAGTCAATTAAGCTGCAAGGGATTAAGTGCCTGGTAGGAGAAAACTGTTCAAAGTCTGAACCACGGTCAGCAGTTGCAGTAAATTGACCCTTATTGAGGTGAAGATGGATAAAGACTATTTCAGAGCCTGAGGTTTCTGTCTCTTCCAAAACGGACTGGAGGGGAGAAAGCTGCTGAATGGTGAAGATAAGCTCACACATGGGCTTCCTGAAGCCCAGCTCAAGTGAATAATTACAGGCAACTCTTATGGTTTAGGCAGTAATCAGAGGAGGAAAGCAATTACTGATGCCATCTGAATTACTGTACACAGCATCATTGCGTCAGGAGACATCTCGCTGATGCTGACTCATCTCCAACCACAGTGTGAAAAAAACACCTTTTGGACAGCCAGCCAGGAATCACACCGAGCCTCTCTGCAGACACAAGTACACAAGCTGCTTTAAGGGTAAAGCTCTGTTACTGATGCCTATAATAGTCTCCTCTGGATCAGTCATAAAGGACGACTTACAACGTGGCATTACAAACAAAGCCGCGGTCTTGTGCTCGGTGCGTATGCCAACAGACAAACAAGGGGAAAGGTGGGAATCCTCCCAACCTCACCCTTTGTTCCTGCAAAGAAAACTCTCATATACCCAACAGAAGAGTAAAGGAGAGCTTTCCCCCACCTAGAGCAGATACAGTTGAGCTGATATTCAACAAAACAACTAATACGCTGTCCTCATCTTCCACATACTCCATCGATGCCAAATCTGCATTCAGATTACAATGGTGTAATGTCAAGAGTGAGACCCCTATCAAAGTCATGGCAACGGGAAGGGAAATGTATATCTGCCCCTCATGGACTGCTGCTCCTGCTGGTGTCCAGAGCAGGTCCATGGCTGCAGGGTGTTAACAAAAGCAGACTGGAGCAGGTTAATGTTTCACTATGGCTTGGACCACTAATAGGATTTCCATGCTCTACTCAACTAGGACAGCAGCCATTGCAAAAGCTTATCTAGTGAGATACTTGTCTTTTCAATTTAAAAAAAGGAAAAGAAAAAAAAAAAAAAACCAAACATCTACATCTAGATTCACAAACGGCCTCTCTGGCACCTCATTCTACGTAGTCTGGTTTTGATGAGTTTTCTCATATCTGGTGCATTTTTACAGCTTTACGCAAGGATGTAATTTCTGTAAACAGGAGGGTTAGACTGTTCAGATGAATCTTTCAGACATCGTATTAA